CTATCCAAGCTTATCATTTGAGCCGCCTGCGCGCCGGTCGACTTGCTAAATGCCCGGGACGGAGCGGGGGTTGGTCAGATCGCTGCCAAGCCTGAAACACGACCGGGATCATGCAAAAGCTCCGGGGAAAATAGAAAAGCTTGAAACTCGCGGTGAAAGTTTGTTAGGCTGGTTTCAGACCACAACGATGCGACAGACGGTGCGCCAAGACAGAGCTGCACACCCCAGACGAGTGGGCCGCACCCGCGCGCACCTGCTGACGGCATCGGACATATTTGCTCACAACCTCCGTCTTTCTTGACGAGGGAGCGACCACCGTCACGTAGGCAAGCATCTCTGTTACTTTGCATCACACGGTAACTCTTAGGAGAGTCCAGGAGGCTCTTCGGTCAACCGATCATTCCGCGGACTCCTCATTTTCCTCGTTTGTCAGAGCCGTGCAGGTGCCTTCATCCAATTATACCCGCCCTAGTCCGAGTCGTGAAGTCCCGTTTCACCTCCTTGCTCAGACGACGATCATGCCAAGGCCACCCGTCCAACTACTCGTCCATAATTGCAAAGAGCTGACAGTCAGGGAACTATGCCAGCCACAGCTCAGCATCCAGCGGCAAGCATCACCGGCAGAAGAACAGGACAAGCCTGTGTGTGGGATGACTCCGGGGCAGGTTTTGGAGATATCTCGGCCAGTGGGCAACAGGCTGGGGACGGCGAAGATCGAGGACCGAGCAACCCGTCAGCAGCCTGGCCTTTCTGCCAGTACACTCGTAGAGTCTCTTCGTAGAGTCTCTTATCGCTGCCGTTTCTCTCTCACTTGACCGCGGTGCGAATTCTGTATCTCACCATCGTCTTTACTAGTGCGAACCTAATCCCTATTACTCGTACCTGTAGCTACCGCCTTTTCATTGATCCTCCCCCCCAAGCTGATACATATGCTGTGAGAAAGGAGGCCCGTCTTCTTCTCCATTTGACGACCATCCAAATTCTCTGCTTCCTCCGCCCAGAGACGCTGGTTTTCCGGAAACTTGCTCAATTGGCCTCATTGTCAGAGAACGCCACCAAACCCAAGCCCCTTGAGCTCCTTTCAGTCGCCATCACACCATACAAAGTCGGCCCCTGTATGGTGCTTGCGATGGCACCCCCACCACTCTCATCGGCCAGTGTGAAGTCTCCTCGACGGTTCTCTTCGACAGCCTTCATAAGTGGCGCAATCTCCACGGCTGCCTCTCCCCTGCAAGCATCCTTCAATCTCAGTTGCCGGTCGCCCATCCGGCCCTCACACGATGCTACCGAGGCTTCCAGACCACCCAGTAGCAGGGTCGTTGCCACCAGCTCTGCAAACTACGGGAACTCGCCATATCTAGAGCCGCCCAGCTTTCTTGCGTCGCTCAACAGTTCGACGCGGCCGGGCTCCAAGGTCAGCTGGAGCCGGCGCGACAGCTACAGCTGCGACGGGGACGAGAACGACCACGACACAAAGAGCATATCTTCTTCAGAGGACTTGACAGCAGCAGATGACACTTGGTTCCTGCAGCCGAGTCCGGGTCTCCCTCCCGATGCGTCATCGAGAAACAGCCACGATGAGGGCAAACTGGGTGTTGTGTCTGCAATCAACATAATCGTGGGCAAGACAGTAGGGGTGGGTGCATATTCTGTGCCCAGTGCCATATTTGCGGGAGTCGGCTCCGTGGGAATGACGCTGTTGCTGTGGGTCGTGGGCAGCTTGATCTCCTTCTGTGGGCTAGCAGTATACCTGGTAAGTGTGTGCTCCGTCCCGCTGCTAATACGAGCCCAACTGCTAATGTTAATAACGATAAGGACCTCGGCACAGCCATGCCTCGTAGTGGCGGCGAGCGTGTGTATCTCGAACGCATCTTCCGACGCCCTCGCATGCTCGCGACGTGCATGTTCATGTCGTACGTGGTGCTTCTCGGCTTCTCCACGCCGAACGCCATCGTGCTCGGCGAGTATGCGCTATACGCGCTGGACGTGCCCGTGAATCGGTGGAACGTGCGCATGATCGCCGTGGCCGCAGTCTCCTCCCTCTGCTGGGCCCACGCGCAGCATCCGCGCCTCGGCCTGCGTCTGATCAACGTGCTCGGGGTCGCCAAGATGCTGATTCTCGTCATCGTGATACTCTCCGGCATGGCCGGCGGGCTGATGGGCGTCGGCGCCGATCGCGAGGGACTGGTGCTTGCGGGAAGGAGAGAAGACGCCGTCTTGTCCGGTGTCGCCCCGCGGAGCACGGCGCAGCGCAACTTCAGCGACATCTGGTCCGGCAGCAGCTTCCAGCCCTACGACTACGCGACGGCCCTGCTCAAGGTCGTCTACTGCTTCCGGGGATACAGCACCGCGAATCAGGTGCTGAGCGACGTCAGGGACCCGGTGCGCACGCTTAGAGTCGCGGCACCCGTGGCCCTCAGCCTCGTGTCGCTCGCATATCTCGCCATCACCGTCGCGTTCTTTCTGGTGGTCGACAAGGACGACTTCAAGTCGGCGGGCGTCGTGGTTGCGGGCATCTTCTTCAGAAACGTCTTTGGTCCCGGGGCCGGGTCGCACATCCTGCCCCTTTTTGTCATCATATCTGCGGCGGGCAACATCGCCGCCACCAGCTTCGCCCAAGCGCGTGTCAATGAAGAACTTGCCAAGGACGGGCTGTTGCCCTGGTCGCGTTTCTGGACGGCTGCCGGCCCTACCAGCGGTGCGGAGATATCGAGCGAAGCATGTGTTGGCAACCACTATTATTACCCTCTGGTCAAGTTCAAGCAGCAGCAAGCCTTGTTTGCCAAGGAAGACGACTCTGCACGTCTTCGGCTTGGCCGTCGTCCTCCCACACCCTCCCGTGGCCTGCTTCTCCACTGGCTCATCTCTGTCCTCGCCATTGCCCTGCCTCCCCCGGGACGAATCTACAACTTCCTGGTTGACATAGGCGGCTATCCGGTCAGCGTGATTAGCGTGGCCGTAAGCATCGGGCTGCTGTATCTGCACAATTCCCCGAGCGAGGGGTGGACCACGCCCTTCCGCGCTCCGCGGCTTGCCGTGGTCTTGTTTGCTGCGAGTAACTGTCTGCTCCTGCTCCTTCCCTGGATTCCGCCAGCGGGAGGGAAGGAGGACGATGCGGGTGGGTTTGTGTGGTTCGCCTATCCGGCTACCGCGCTTGCTGTGCTCGCTACCGGCGCGGTCTGGTGGGTCTGGTGGGTGCGCTGGGGGAATGGCCGCGCAGGGGCAACCGGCAACGTTCATGGCGGTGACCGTACTAACGTGGGTCGGAGGAATGGTCATTTCCACGGCCTGGAGGGACGGGATAGCGGTGAGGATGAGGGCTTACTGAGTGAGGAGGACGAGGGTGGCGGTGGCAGCATCCCGGCTATTGAGGTCCGCAAGAGAGCGCCTTGCGGGTGTCCTATGGCTCAATAGCCTGCTGTTTTCCTCTTTGGCTTGCAATTGCGCGTCTTGTCTGTGATAGGAGAAGCAAGACAGTCGTACCATACCAGGGGAGAGGGAGCTGTAGTTAACAATCAAGGTCCAAATGCTGTACAATAAATATCCTAGATACCCGATATTAAGCAACGATCATTTGTTAATAGGGAAACGACGAGACGTGTCTCGGATAGGTAGGCAGTTCGTGAAGCACCAGCCGTCGTGAACCGAATGGAAGAGAGATTTACAGTAAGCTGAGTCTTATTCTCTATCACTATGTATTGCATTCTTCATCAAGTGCACACTGTGGTGTCTTTATGGGTTTGCTCCCCAAAGTCTCATTTTTTAGCTGTGGTCCCAGTGGTCCGAGAGAACCTCCCCACACTGAGGTTCAGTTCGCCAGCAACACAATGCTGATGTATCGAAAAGGAACCAGTCCGCTAATCATCCAGTGAAGGTCCCGCGTGATGCTATTAATAGTGCTCTACTGGTAAGAACCTGATGGGGTCCCGGAATTGGTTCTCGCATGCCACAGAGTTTAGATACGAATTTGTTGCACCCTTGTTTTCTACAGATGCACCACTCACCGATTTTTGTTGTCCAAGGTATGTGACAGGGGGCGCTGAATTTCTCTGGTCAGGGGAGATTCCTCCCCATCCAGCCAATAGGAAACTAACCTGTCCACATCTTTCCTCTAACCCACCATCACCAACGAGTTCAGAGAACTGCACTTTCGTTGCGGCACGCCTGCTTCGGTGAGGTGATTGTGTGCAACCTGAATATGTTCGGATCCTGCACGCAATTTGATAATCCAGCTCGCTGGTTTGAGGCTCCGCACGGGCTGCGTTGGGCAAGCACAATAGAAACCCAGGTGCACAGGTACTTCCGGCTCTCCTTGCGGCATTCCGTCCTCGTTATCTCTCTGCTACTAGCACGACAGTACCGCAGAATCGAGATGAGATGCTGCTGGACCTATGATCTTTATCTCGAAGACCAACCTGGAAATATCTATACGTTGTTACCTGCCACCGTCTATTCCTACAGTCAGTCCACACCCACAGTTAACACCGTGGGCTGGGCTATTCACAAAAGGAGTTTCCAACTCTGGCCCCAGTGTGCTTGAGACCTCGCCCTGTCTGCTAGATCATTTCGCTTCTCAATGGCGAGGGACCGGTGAAGATTCACTACCTGTACCTCATCTAAGCTATGACTTAGGTCGACCATATAGTCATGATCTATGCTTGACTTCGGTTCTCTGGCTCCCGTTCAGCGCTCACTGACCGGCAAAAGTCTGGTTGATGCGCAGGCGTCAAACTTCAATCATCAATCTGAAGGTCGTGTGTTCGATCCACACACACCGCACTTCGCGATCCTGACACCCATTTTTTATGATCAGCTTATTGTCGAGAACTTTAACATGACCACATGATTTCCTCGTTTCTCATTCGATTCTTTTTACTGAATAACGTCATCCTGATTAACAGCAAGCCCCTGTCCGCCCCTTGTCCGCACTAACCTTTGTATTTCCTGTGGAGTATATAAGGTTGCCTAGTCATTACTACCTTCATAAATCAGGCGCGGTTGCGGGGTTAGCTCAGCCGGGAGAGCGTTAGGCTGAAGTCAAATTTCAACCTGAAGGTCGTGTGTTCGATCCACACACACTGCACTTTCGCGATCCTGACACCCGTTTTTTATGATCAGCTCGTTATCGGGAACTTTAACATGATCACACGATTTCCTCGTTTCTCATTCGATTCTTTTAACTGAATAACGTCATCCTAAGTGCGGCGCTGTGCCTGTTCCCATGATAGCAGAGCGCTCGGGGAACAGAAGCCGGTCAGTCGTGACCGGGGCCTGTCTCCCAATGTCCCACGCGTAGCGGTTGAAAGCATGGAGGTAAGCGGATCTTAACTTCTCAAACAGGCCAACATATTACAACCCGACACGGCGTGCACGAATCCTGAGCACTGAATGACCGCCTCCCGCAATTATAGAGACTACTGCATCCTATGGAATGAAGTCTTGTCCTATTATAACGTATGATTCCCACCTTATAAACCGTGTTCCTGACAAGCCCTACATTTATAAACCCGCTATAGTCCGTCCTACCACGCCAATCGATGGGCGAAACCTACCCTCTTCAAGGCGCGCTGATCTCTCTTCAATCCATCAGGGCAGGCAGAACTAACGTCCGAAACCTTCTCCGTCGGCGGCAATGTCGAGGACTGTCTCCGCCGAGGATGTTCCCCGCTTCAATGTAAGCGATGCCTTCAGCATCGTTCCAGTCGGCCCTGTTCCGTACAGCGGTTTCCAAGTCTTCGGCATCTTCGCCTTTTTCCCTTTTATATTGTATTGCTCATTGTCTGCGGCTTGCGGGTATACGGCAGGCGTCTGTCTGGAGGTTTCGGACTGGGTAAGCACATGGACACTTAGTGCAGGGAAAAGGGGCTGCAGGGAAACTGACAAGATGCAGACGGTTGGTTGACATGCACCGCAATGGTGAGCTAGACCCATGTCGTGGATGCCGTCCCTGACATCTTACACCTTGCTGAGAGCGGCACTCCCAGGTGTTGGAAATTGACCTTGCTGATCACCTTTTGTGTCTCCTGGACCTCAAGGTGAACCTACGGCTCCGCAACGCCCTTCTGGCCATCTCCCTGCTGGGCGTCGTGAGGGTCAGCATGATGAGCGTTGTCCGGCTGTACTATGTCATCCGGGCCTTTTACACGAAACCCGCAGACCCGCATTACTCGCTTGGTTACACGACTGACACGGTTGAGATCAACCTCGCCATAATCACCGCGTCGGTACCGGCGCTGTGGCCACTTCGCCCGCCGCTGGTTTCCCGGAGTGTTTGAGTCTCTGGGCAGCAATCGGCCCTACCTGTATCCGGACATTGAGGTGGCGTACGCGACACGCCAGTCACGGGCAAGCTAGGGACCGACGAGATCCCTCCATGCGAAGACGAGCTGGGGGAAGCGCGGACACACGCCGAGCGGCGTCTTTGCCAACGGTAGTGGGGATGGAGATGGAGATGGAGATGGAGGTGGAGGTGGGGATGGAGATGGGGACATGCACAGCTACCAGCTCGACAACACTCGCAACAACACAACGGTCCGAAGCAACCAGAGCAATAGCAGAAGCGGAGCGGCAGTGCAGACACGGTCGACCCGGGTCTCAGGACGAGTGTGAGCAGTCTGTAAGCTGCGCCAACGGCATTACAAATGCATGAAGGCTGGTCTCACTCGAGACACGGCATAATAAATGAACTGGCAGGAATGGGCTGTCCGTGGCCACCAACAACAACATAGGACGCGAGGGAGGGCTGGATGAGACTTCTGGGCCGAGTCGAGGGCGTCGCAATGGGGAGCATTACATGCATGACCGAGAACAGGCTTTGCGAAGCATGGTTTTGCTTTTTCTCTCTACCTTGCGCCTCTTTCTCTCTGTCCCCGTTACACAGACGTGCTTGCGGTTGAAGGAGAACTTGCTCCGTACGCACTTCTCTTTACGTACTCACCTCGAGGATGTAGGCTGTATCAAAGTACACCAATCACGTTGGATATGGCGTTGATCATTTCCTTGCGACATCCCTGTCCAGCGAAACACTAATGCCCCGCTAACGGCCCGCATCACTTCCGGCTGGCTGGTGCTTTGACGCTACGCTTTAGTCTCCCACACCTCGGTCAGCTCGGCGTCCTTGGCTGGGTTGGTCGTTTCTGTCACCGGCCAGGCAAGCCGCGCTGGCCAGAAAGATCGTTGTATGATCATACCACTTGCTCTACAAGGCATGTGTAGCACAGAGCCGTGCAAAATGGCTCGAATATGGTGAGTTTCACGGCGCTTACCTCCACCGAGCGCGTACCGTACCACCTGAGATACCTTAGGTCGCCGCACTCGCTTCGAGAACTCTCCAAATAGGGCCCGATCAAGCAATCAGGGATTTTAGCGGTAGTGTGCCCCGGGCATATATGCACGCTCCCAAAAAGACACTAGTTATCATGCAGTAAGCAAACAGACTTAAGGTGATTCATCGATCCTGACGAATGAAACTTACTTTGCTTATGCAACTTTAATTGGTTCACCCAACCATATCTGTATGCTGTACTCTGGTGACAAACATTTGATGACCCAACAGAATCCTCAAACGAGGAGAGTTGAAGACCTAGCGGTGAGTGCTATTACGGAACTACAACCACCATAAGGAGGCTTGTTCGTGTCTTGCTTTCTGTCTACCCTTCTTCCTTCCTTATATCTTCTTCCACTATGATTTGCCTTCGCGACAGAAGGTGTGCATTATGCCGATTCGAGATCAATAACGGAGATGTTATCACAGGTAATACACTACCCTAGGCTCATAGACGCCCGATGCTAACTCTACTTCCTAGTCAAAAAAGGGGACTCGCTACTAGAGTTCGAGTTACAGCGCCATGAGATATTTTCTCCGTCTTTCAACCTCGGTAATGAGGACTTTTCTTTCCACTTGTGTTTCAGATCGCCATGTGGGTCGAGCGATCATCAAGTTTTACCTTATCTTCATCGAGCATGCCGCCGCATCACTCAAATACAACTTTCCGCGGATCTTCTATCTGCATTGGCCTTTTCGTTCAGTCCGGATAGTATCGACACAAGTAGAAGAGAAAAGCGGCTGCAGAGCGACTTTGCTCTTCATGCTCGAGGGTCGGAGTGGCCTAGGCAACTCCCCACAGAGCTATGGCATTTAGTTGCAGATTACTTTTCGTTGAAGGAATACGCTGCTTTAGTAGCGGAGCGCCTAAGCTTGAAGCTATCTACGCCTGGGGAAACCGTTCTGGATCTCTCGCTTCCCATCAATGTCACATACCGAATGATTGACGGTGCTCGCTACATATCAGGTCTTAGAAACGGGGAAGGAGTACCAGCAACGGCCAAGTCAGCTAGACGAGTCGAGATTGGAGAGGACTACTGTGGTGTCAGGCAGTTGCGTCTCTACTGCGGACCTGATGTCCTCGTTATTCCGGAAGATATAATTGGGGAATCAAGAATCTGGTGGTCAGTTTCGTCTGGACATCAGTTTCTACGTATATCATACGATGTAAGCGTATCTATGCTTTATGTACTATGCTTTATTAACGTTTCTCAGGGTCTCAAAGTACGCCAGATACGTCCGGACTCTCCGACGACAACAGACCATAGTTATGTCGGCGTCTCAGAGCCAGCTATAACACCCGTGGATATCATCAAACTATCACCAAACCCATCTTTCGACTATAGCAAAATTTGGATGCAACCGCTTAGATGCAACTACCCCGACGTAAGAGGATATTTTGCGCAACTATGTCGCACTGGAACAATCACTATCCATGAGCATGTTGATAGGACTGATACTCGGTTTTTCTCACAATCTCAGAGATTGCCAGGCGAATCGAGAGTCTGGGTTTATATGCCTATGGGTATTGATGAATACTTAGTAGCCGTTTGTATAAGGGTTGACAAACGGGTTATAGGGAGGAGGATATCCGCGGCTGACACATCACTAATTGTAAGTAAGTACTATATGTTGAACTGATCTTAGCTAACTTACTAGTTCGTTACAAGTCGTGGTCGAGAAGTTTTATTCGGGCCATATATAGCACCCTCCAAGCCTGGATTGCTATATCATCGAATTTCACAGCTCCCTTCCACTCCGTTCAGGATGTTTCTATCGTATCTGCATTCGGCACCTACATATTCTTATATAACGGCAGTGGCCTTTGAAGACTCGGTCAAGAAGGATCATTCACCTCCTACGGCAATGACAACAATCCGCGACGCTCCTACTGGCTGTGCTTGGTTTCATTCAGCTTGTCAGCTGTCTAATGTTACCGAAGTCATTCTTTGTCGGAGGCACGGCAAAGACAGGGGTAGAGTCGTTGGGATGCTTCTCTGTTACAGCGACGGTAGCCGCAACGCTGTTGGGCAATACCGGCTAGACTGGGCGTCGCAACCTA